TAAGCAACTTGTCTTGGTAACTGGCCTACCTTACATTTCATTTCAGAAGACAGGAGAGTTGTCTTGAACTTTTATCTCTTGAACTGTGCGAAGAATTCTTTGGCTCACCGTCCTACGATCCCGATCATTCCGTGTTGAGCCGTTGTCCGTCATCACCAAAACACTTCACCAATAAAGGTTTAGCATTTAGTGTTTGGTTCTTTTTTTTGTGATATTCTCGTAAATAATGCATTCTGGCTCTGAAAATGTCCGTCAAATAACGGACGAAAGCTCAGCATGGAGTGATCGAGGTCGTAGGACGATTAGCCGAGCTTTTGCTTGCACAGTTCTACAGACAAAAGTCCAAGACAACCCTCTTGTGCAATCGGGTGAGGCCAATCTACGAATCCCTCCGACCCGCCTTCTAAAACGAAATAAAAATTACGCCAGTATGAATGTAGTAAGGGATTCTTTGAAACCCACTTTCTCTACATATTCTGGTCTCGAACACATTTGTAAAGCCTATTTTTCGGCAAAAAGTCTTGTGATTGGAAATATTCTTGCGCCAACACAACAACCGAATCACCTCTACCACTTCATGTAGCTCCTCTGTCCTCCAAGCAAGCACGAGGCCAAAGCGCTTCGCCCTCCTCAATGAAGCCAGTCCTGACCGAAGTCTACCCAACTACAGCGTTCAATATCAGATTAGGACACAACCGAGAGTTGGTCGTCATTAAAATCAAAAGACTCGATCACTGCCAGGACGATTCACGAAAGTTGATGACATTGTACCAGAGTCGACCTCAAAGTGCAGCGGAGGGGAGATAATGATGTCAACAAGTAAAGCACATCTTCTTTCATCGTGGTAAGAGGCTGGTCGTTGTCAAGCCGCACTAAAATTGACCAGTTTTATGGTTGCAATGACAGCGTGTCTGTCCACAATGAATGGAATAGGATGCATGATGTGCATGACCAAAGTGAGACGTTCCCTGTGCTGTCGGTACCAGTCGAAATTGGGGCACCATGACAACGAACTTATCACCTGGCAACGACCGACAGTGAGGCCCTCGCAACGGCCTAGAGTCACCTGCGGAGGAGGCTGATGAGACTGAGGATGCCTCTTTTGGATAAGCAGTTCACTGCAACTCGCCAGCAATAGCAAGTCCTCATTCATAGAAGTGGATTGACCTCGCTGTTTCAACTTGGTCTTGTTGTCAGGGCGACTTGGTAAAACGCACCTTGTCCGAAGTTGTAAAAATTCCCAGAATCAGACAGTGAACTTGGTACATTCTCAAACGTTTCGCCGGTATCGTAGTCGGCATCATCAGTGAGTTATGCCATTCGCCGCACCAACCCACGAACTCGTCAAAGAGACAAGTCAAGTCAATCCTTCGACAAACGTTCTGCCGAAAACGGTTACACTCTCACTCCTCTTTCTGTCCTGGCCGAGTTTGCTTGAGAAAACTCTATTTTTCAAATTAAGTATTGTTTTCGTGACTACCAGTAAATCACTAATATGAGATGTATTTACCCAATTTCGTTGTGGTGATGAAGGACTGGTAGAAGAAGAATTTTCCCACAATGATATGAGTTGAGCTGATGTTTCCATTCAACTTCACATAGCCTTCTTTTCCCAAAAGTTGTTCTCATCCAAGCACCATTGAACGGCAGTTTCGACCTAGCATCGGTCTAATCAACACAATATATCTTATATTACTGATTTACTGGTAGTCACAAAAACAATACTTAATTCGAAAAATAAAGTATATTAGTCGATTGTTATAGCAGATATACGTTTGCTTCATCATCAATAGACTACTTGACTTATTTTTCGTTTTAAAAGGAGGTCATTAGGTCAAATATATGAGATGTATTCACTACTATTTGGTTTTAAGTGATAAGGCGACTAGCAGTTGAGTATTTCCAAAATAATGTGGAAAGATCATCGTTTCTATTGAATCGAACATGAAAAGTAAGGGTATGTGAAATTTAATGCAAACGCTAGGTCTATTTATATCATTGTGGGAAAATTCGTCTTTAACGAAATAGGGTGAATACATTATATATATATGATTAACTGTTAGTCTAGAAAATCTAATTATAAATGAAAAAATAGCCCATCATTTATAGAGTTGTGTTGACCTCGTTGTCGCAACTTGGTCTTGTTGTCAAGGCGACTTGGCAGAACACACCTAGTCCGAAGTCGTCTGCCAGAGTAGTTGTCATGATTCCCAGCATCAGACAGTGGACTTGATGCCGACTATGATGCCGGCGAAACGTTTGAGAATGTACCAAGTCCACTGTCTAATGCTGGGAGTCATGACAACTACTCTGGCAGACGACTTCGGACTAGGTGCGTTCTACTAAGTCCCCCTGACAACAACACCACTTCCATAAATCGAAAGGAGACTGCGACCATACCAGATGCCACAACATCTTGGCCATCAGTTGCTAGTGTCATAAGTCAATAGCATAGTCTTGACGACAGGTTGGAGCCTTTCTACCGGCGGCCAACTGAGCAGTGAGGGTATCTGAAATCGGAAACCAGATGCCGTTTGTTGTCCATTCATCTCAAAAAGAAGCGTTATATTTTCAACGTACCACAAGCATAGACACTTCGCACAGGTACCATTTTACGTTTATACGTCAAGACAGAAAGCGCATCTGTATTCTAGAGAAAAAATCCTGGGAAACACCAGTCCAGAACAGTAACTTCATACTTCATAATTTCTACAAACGAATATGATAACCTGGCCTGGGCACCAGATTCAGTGTGCTCAAGATAACTTAACGCTTTATCATGTTTTGAAAAGATAACTACTCAAAAGATTTTGTATGTAAACTCTTTACATGTAATATTGTTTTGCGCAAATCGCCAGACTGTGCTCTTGACATGTATTCGCAATTGAAGCAGCCAGCAGATGAAGTAGCAAACCTCTCTAAATTGGCATCACGAAGCCGAGGCTACTGACAACAGAAAGGTGATTTGAGCAAAATAATATCGCATGCATGAAAGCTAAGGCAAGCTGGTTAAAATAATGCAAAATGTGAAACTTACTCCTTTCAAAACATGTTAAAGTATAGCATATACGACTTATCGTATGTGTAGTATGTACCAACAAGGGTGATTTAGTCTAATGTAGACTGGAGCTGATGGCGAGGCAAGTTAATCACATTAGTTGGTTGAAAATTAGCGCCTCGTGTAAAAGTATCGCCAGAATCCGTGTTATTACTTGGCTTACTATGTCATATAAGCGGATGCTTTAAGGAAGGTATTGAAGAATGACACTCATTAATTGCAATCAAGACAAGGCTCAGGCAAATCTTGTCAGAAGATCTTGGTCCGGAGGACCAACTCAGACCACAAACACTAGCAGATAGGTTGCATTACATCTTTCTTGAACAAATTTCGAACAAATGTGATAAGAAACTTGGCAATTTGGGTATAAGAATCACTAAAAATAGATAGAAACGGGTAAAATGTAAATAAGTTAAAGTGAAGAACATATTATAAGCACAAGTAAAAGTTCCCTCTAAGTGATGAAAGTTAAAGATACAGCAAATTATACACTTTTTAAATGTTACATTAACTAGATTGTGTTGAATAGGTAAACAGAAGCCCAGACAACTAGACTCAAGGGTCGCATGCATCCGCGAGATGGTAGACCACTAAAAGCTCAAGATATTACCAAACATTGTACAGTAGCAGTTCGATTTAGAAGTTTCACTGAGGCATTCTTACGATCAAGTCAAGTTTGCCGATAAAAGTTGATAAATAGTGGTGATTTGCATGTTAGTTTCAATTTAATGCCCAAATATGCACGCAAATATTGCTATAAACGAGGCGATATGGGCTGAAGAGCTCATATGAGATCAACATTCCAAGATAAAATGGATAAAAGATTAGGAAAAGCTCCAATCATTTGATTGCCTTATTTACTTATGAACAACAGATAATCTACTTTTAACGGTAGGTTGCATGAATAAAGACAAAATGTAGCTATGGGATCTTGGTTAGTTACTATTTTGACCAATAATTACATATCTTGATTAGAGGTTTGATAGACTAAAGAGGCATTGCTGATTCCAAAATTACTACTTGAGAATATGGACGACTATTTCTCTATTTGGCAACACGGCAAAGATAGGTTAGACGGTGTAACTAACTTTAATGTGGAGTTTGAAAATGAGGATAGGCTACCATTTCTGGATAATTTGGGGAGTAAAGAGGGAAATAGGCTAGCCAGAAATGTGTTCAGGAAGCCAACATACACGGGTTTACTTCTCGACCTCTTTTCTCCTCACACAGATGGAGTCAACGCGAGAGTTATGAAATCGATGACAATAAGGAGACTACGCCTAGCAGATACAAAGGTCTGGGATTGGGAAAAAGGAAGACTGAGGAATATATTACTTCAAAACAACTATCCAATGGGATTCATAGACAATACTCTGACGATAATACAGAAAAATGGCAATGTAGGACAGGACAGGCAGATGGAAGACTTTGCACTCATCCTGTCGGCTTTCGAAA